GGGGGAAAATAATATCAATTTTCCAATTGATCCTAAAAGATGGGTGAACTGCCGCTTTCCCCCTTCCTGCTCAAGAATTTAGTTTGAGTTTTTTTTTAAAATGGGGCCCATTCTCCCCAAGAGGTACCCTCCAACCCCTTTCACCACTCTTGGTTCAATCTTCAATACAGTGTTGCTAATATTAAACAAACAAACATTGGTTTATTTCATTCAACATTCAGGAAATTGCTCTGCTGGTTTTATGGGACCTTCCCACGCTAACAAGATTGGGCCTGAGAATTTACAGAGCTCTCTTGGACTAGATCGCTGAGATGATCACTGGAATGATCTGCAGATTCTCCCTCTGGCTGTGATCCTCCAACATGATTGATTGGGGTAATTATAGACCTAGTAGATGCTGAGACGGTTTAGGTAAGGTTGGTGTGGTTTAACCTATTGTTTGCACCCACTGCACACATTTGGGTGAGGGTTCCAAATATTGTGTGAACCCAGAAAATGGATGACTTCAGGAACAGGTTAAGGGTGTTGTGTGAACAGAGGCTATGTATCCCCCCAAAGTCAGAAGCATGGCTGGTGAGGATGCACATCCTTTCCAAAGATGGTGAGAAAATGTTATAATTCTCTTCTCTGATCTTGGGACAAGGAACCCTCCTTTGCATGCCAGGCCCAGGCAAGTTCTAGGCCTTAAATGAGGTAGCTCAGGGAGGTGGTGTGAGCCCGGCCCAAGCAACCAGAAACTCTGAACCAAACCAATTCAAGAGCTGGGGGCCGCCCAACACAATGGGCAGGTTAATTCCGATGGTGTTTGTGGGCTTGCTGGCTGAACGTGTCGCGCCAGCCCGTCCTCTCGTGCTCAGCGGCCGGTGCAACTCTTGCGCGAATGCAGATCCTGCGGAATTCAGCCCCGGCTGCCGCTGGATGGCCCGGAGGGAGCAGCAAGGATTCCGCGGCCGCTGCGCTGGAGACTCCGGCCCTGGCTCGCTCGCCGGCCCCTTTCCATCGCGGAGGCCGGAAGAGCCGAGCGTTCCTCGCCCGCGGGGGGCCTTGCCCGGGCCGCGCTCGTCTCCCTCCAGCACCCTTACCCGGCCGCCCAAGCTCGCCTGCGCGCAGCAATGGCCTAACACAGACCGAGGCTCAACCGCGCCGCTGCCGGGGAGGGAAGGGCTGGAGGCGCGCGGCTGGCGGGTCAGAGGCGCGCCGGCCGGAGATGCGCGAAAGCTGCGATTGAGGG